AATCAAATAATTGATATTAAAATAATTATCATAATCATAATCACAATCATAATCGTAATGATAATGATAATCATTACAATAATACAGTCACTATGCATTGTTGCTTTATTTCCTTTGTTTAAGTAGGAAGAGAGTAGAAAGCTATTGAGTTTTTAACGTGCATCGTTTGGTTTTCATATAATATTCGTCTTTTTCTTTCTTTCTTTCTTTTGTTTTTCCTCTCTGTATTGCTGAATTTGCTCAAACTCAAATGGCCACTGGATTATGGAAATGAAAGGAAATAAAATTAGCGATTGTTTTTAAATACCTTTCTCCCCTTTCAATCATCATTGATTAATTGTTCTTTTGCCCATGGCGTTTGGCACATGAATACCGGCCTGCTTTTATACAAATATTGTATCTGTTACTTTGTCTTAAACTTCCGTGGGGGCTCTTGTGGTCGAGAGGTTATGGTGTTCGCCTCTCATTCAATATGTCTGGGGCTCGAATCTGGACAGCAAGGGAAAATTTTCTTCTCTAAAATTGTCTCCTTTTAACCTCCTTTCCTGCTCTCTAACAAAGTTCTGTCGTCTGCTTTCGTCTCTCCTTTCTGCCTCCACCCCCTCACCTCCTTTGCCCCTTCCTCCGGGCTCCTGACTCTTTCTGCAGCCTTTCTACTGCTACTCCTTGGTTCCTTCTTACTGCAGTCTTTCAGATACATCCCTGATCTTATGGTAGATAACAACTAACAATTAGCCTTCTTGGATAAGTACACAATTCTCGGAGGTCCTGTGTGCAAGTTGCGCGCGTTAAAGATCCCGGTGGTCCCCAGTCGATAAGAGTAGGCTTCGGCCGCCACTCGGGCAAAATTCAAAATCTCCTACCTACTGAAAATGTTTAATGTCTCCCGAGCGCTCATATGACCTTCAGAAGTTGCGAGCGCCGTAGTACACTTACCAGCCCTCCCCCCAACACACCCCCTACAATAAAAAGAGAAAATCTTTCGTGTCTCATCTGTAAATCGAAACTGATATTCTAATTCCTGTACTATCTTATAGCTATCCAAGTCCATTGATTCCGTGTGGACTGAATCAGCTGTCTTATCAAAATATCCCTCGTATTAATTTAATAGAGCTTGCTGCAGAATATGGGTGTGTACCAGGTGATTTAAATTAAATTGTTGATATTGTTGTTATTATCGTTATTATTATTATTTTAGTAGTAGTAGTAGTAGTAGTAGTAGTAGTAGTAGTAGTAGTAGTAGTAGTAGTAGTAGTAGTAGTAGTAGTAGTAGTAGTAGTAGTAGTAGTAGTAGTAGTAGTAGTAGTAGTAGTAGTAGTAGTAGTAGTACAAAATATATTATTATTATTATTGTTATTATTATTATTATTATTATTATTATTATTATTATTATTATTATTATTATTATTATTATTATTTCTCCGACTTCTGCTGAGCTGATGCGTCCCTTTCGAAATAAAGTTGGCCCATACAGACAAAGTGGACTCAGCCAGCCACCTAATTGGTCGCTTTTAAGTTTAAGCACAAGGGGGCTATCCCTAAAAATGCTGTTTTGAGAAAATCGAAGGTAAAGTTTTTGCCCCTTGTTCAGTTTCTTTAAAAGACAATGAGAGTTTTCTCTATAACCCAAAAAATATACACACCGGTGAAACCAAACTTCACCTATAGGAAGGGCAATGCCCACTTTTGGTGTATGTCAAGATTTCTGGAAACCCCTGAAATCTGAGTTAGTCCGCTTGTCCTTAATTAAAAGCGGCCTATAACCGAATTTGTGACCACAGATTTGTGAAACATTTACAACGTGCGTTGTCTGAGCGCGGGTCCCTGAACAACAAATATTGACACCGCAACGATCTTTTCGTCTGAAGAAAAATTGCAGTCAGTGTGAAATTTTGTGTGCGTATGTGTGTGTGTCTTTTGTGTGTGTGTGTGTGTGTGTCTTTTGTGTGTGCATGTGTGTGTGTCTTTTGTGTGTGCATGCGTGTGTATGTGTGCGTGCGTGTGTGTGTGAGTCCCCCCCCCCTCTCTCTCTCTCTCTCTCTCTCTCTCTCTCTCTCTCTCTCTCTCTCTCTCTCTCTCTCTCTCTCTCTCTCTCTCTCTCTCTCTCTCTCCCCCTCTCTCTCTCTGTGTGTGTGTGTGTGAGTGTGGAGGGGGGGGGGGTGTATGTGTGTTTGTGTTTTGTTTTAATGACATTGGTTTTACTCCCTCTTTGAAACAATTTGCGTAGATCAAATTTGAAGAGGTAGGCTTTCACTCTGTCTGTCAGAGTCCACTCAGACTAAGTTCGTAAATAGAAATAGGACGAGGTTAGCCGTACTTAATAACGGTTAGACGGCTGTGCTAGCCGTACTTAATAATAGTGGCTAGACCGACAAACAGTAAAAAAAAAAATAGACATACTGAATTGTAAATAAATTTTTAGTTTGCAATACCTAAAGTATTTTTCATTTAAGACGAAACCAAAATGTTCCTTACTGAAAGTGTATATATTTTGACCCGGAATAATTACTAATGAGACCTCTGTACTCAACAGGTTTTGGTCAATGGGGCCTAACCTACGTACGGTTAGACTGGCAGGCTAGCCGTACTTAATAACGATGGCTGAATTGTAAAAAAAAAATTAGTTTGCAATACCTAAAGTATTTATATTTCAGACGAAGTCAAAAAGGTGCCTTACTGACGTGCATGTATTTTAAATCTGAATAATTACTGTATCTAATGAGACCTGTGGACTCAACATGTTTCCGTCAAAAGGCCTAACCTAAGTACGACTAACAACTTCGATAGAAATAATATATATGCCTTTTTGTGCTTTGTCACTGTAAAGGGTGAACAGAGAAATATGAATAGACAGACAGACAGACAGACAGACAGATAGACAGACAAACAAACAAACAAACAGAGTGATGGTCAGACAAATAGACTGACAGGAGAACGGAGGATTGATAAATAGATAGATAGGTAGATATACAGACAGACAGACAGACAGACAGACAGACAGACAGACAGACAGACAGACAGACAAACAGACAGACAGACAGACAGACAGACAGACAGACAGATAGAGTCCTCATGTTCCTCCCTGTAAAGTCAATGACTAGATCCCAGTTTTATTACGTCATATCCCGCCCTCAGCCGGCGAGACAAGAAAACAGCTGAGCCTTTCCTGGCTCAGGTATGTCAAGATGTGGGACGTTATGAGTGAGTCATTCATACATCTGTGAAGCCTGCAGACAAAATGAGTTACTTCTCAGATTCAAGCCTAAAGAAAATAGATACATCATGCTTATAGGTGAAGTTTTTACAGTTTATAAGTATGAAATATTAAAAGACAGGTTATAGTTATTAAAGAATATGGCATCAATAGAAAATCTACAAATTTGACCCTAATTACGATTTTTTAGCCAATATCTCTATTTGTGGATTGGGAGAAGTTACTCATTTTGACGTTAACCCATCTTGTCAATCTTGTCAGGGCAGAAATCTAAATACTCACTCTGGCTCTTAGGGGTTTGTCCCCGCCCCCGTCTCCCAGGGGGAAAAAACACCTTCCCCTCTCGTCGCTTCTCCTGCCCTGGCGTTCTGTGTTTGTTTGGGATGAAATACATCCTGTGACTTTGGGGAGCTCTGAGAGAAAGGCAGATGTAGTTGTTGTTGTTGTTGTTTTTGTTGTTGTTGTTGTTTTGTTTTGTTTTAAGAAAAAAAGGGAAACCTACTGCTACTACTATTACCATAATAGCATGCACCACGAGCCTCGGTAGAATCGTATCCAAACGAAGTGGGGAACTCTGTTCCACCACTTTCCAAAGAGGAAATTTACTCGTTAATCCGATCCGTACGCTTTGAATAGCAGTTTGTCAAAATGATTTTTTGAGAAATAATGAGTTTCAAAGAGATGTTCGTACTAGAAGTATTCTAAAATGTGAAGAATACAACCCCGGGGTACAAAATGACCCCAGGGCGTGCGGGTAGGCTTTTAAAAATCATTCCATTTGTATGTGGTGAAGTGAAAATCCTACCAGCCAAGTGTGCACGTTTGCACGTACCGTGGGTCTTGGGGTTACATGACAGTTCATCTCGAGGATGAGTGGGCGAGACAGGCAGGATTTTTTTGTTTGAAGAAGACGAATCTATTTTTGTCTTCGAAGCTATTGTTAACCCAAGCAAGATAATAATATTATTATTACTAATGCCGACAGTTGTTAGCTAGGTGTGCTAAAAATATCTACGATGTCTAACCAATGGTCTAACCGCACTTCCGTTGTAATGAGGTACAAATCAACAGCAATCCTTTACCATGACGTCACTTATTATGTTCGATTGTTACCGAGGTGCGTTCGGAGTGATTTCATAGGAGTGGAGCTGAAATGATTCCAACATATATATAACGTTTTGACTTCAGTAATTTGTTCATTCTGTTGGAAAGAAAGTTACTGCGAAAAAAAGGTTACAATAGATCTACCTATACGTATTATGTACACTTTCAACATCTTTTAAGTACACTGCTTCACAAAATGGAAAAACATTGCTTTGGCGAGCTGTGGCGTTTGTGATCATTGCAAGTTCATTGGTATTGTTTCCTGTACTAATTTTCTCGCTTTACCATGCCAGCTACCATGTAAGGTCTACATTAGTTTATGATGGACCAACTATTATTACACGACTTTTCATTTCTCAATTCGGAGAGAAATCTGAAACAACAACAAAACAATTAAATCCCCCCCAAAAACACCAAAAAAACAAAACAAGCAAACATAGAAAAATATTCCACAGTCTGAAAATGTGAGAGAAAAAAACATGAAATACCACTGGCCACAAAACTAAATAATATCGTTACATGTTTGAAACTAGTTTTAATCTCTCGAGGGTTTGCCAACTTCATCGTTCTATTCATAGTTGTTAAGATGCTTGCAATATTTTTTCAAGAAGGGCTCACGGGCAGACGGATAAGGAGAAAAACATCAAATAAGGGACTCGAGTAGACTAGTAGATTGGCTCATTGGAGGAAGAGTTCAGATAGATAGATAGATAGATAGATAGATAGATAGATAGATAGATAGATAGATAGAAGAAGTGGAGAAAACGACGTATAGACAGAAAACTGGAGGATTAGAAACTATAGACAGATTACAAGATGGAAAAACTGATAGTTGTGCAGATAGTGAGGAAAGAGGCGTCCTATAAATGTAAGGCAGCGTGGTGGAATCAGGCTCTCGTCAAAGTAATCAAAGTGAAGAAACTTGCATTTTTTCCGCAGGTTTGTGAATCTTTATCAAATTTTTGTTTTTTGGCTCAACACCTTTCATGCCCATTAAAGAACTAATTTCTGTGTGAATTTTGTCTGAAAAGCGTTGAATAAAGGCACAAAAATGGAAATTTTTAGTTACCACGGACTCTTAAGCTAAGGAAATAACTAATCTTTGCGGCCATTTTCTCACTAATTTTACCTCTCAAACAGGTGACCCCCACCTCCTTCTTTCGCAAATATCTCGACTTGTATTCAAGATAAATGGGCACTTTTTTCATCCAAATAAAGACAAGTGAATAAGCTTTAAGGTGATACTTATAACTCTACAGGACCAAAATTTTACGAGAGCCTGATTCCACCACGCTGCCTCATAAATGATACGACTGTGTTTACGTTGGAATTTTCGCTCTCTCAAACGTTTACAATGTTCTACATAGCGGAGCGGTCGACCGTGGCGACAGTTTTTTCTTGTATAGAAAAGCTGTCTCCCGCACATCGTTGGTGTAAATTGTGAGGCATCGTGGTGAGATCAGGCGCTCGTCAAAATAATGAAATCCGAGAAATCAGCAATTTTCGGCCAGTTTGGATTTTTTCCCCCAAATTTTTATTTGTATGTCCATTCAAAAACACTATCATCGAAAATGTTGATTATAGGCAAAAAAATGTAAATTTGCAGTTTTCAAGGACTCTAAAGCTATGGAAGTCACCAAACTTTTGCCTCCATTTTCAAGCTCATTTTTTTTAAAAACCAGGCGACCCCCATCTCATTCAATTGCAAATGTCTCGACTTCTATTCAAGATAAATGGATATTTTCTTTCAACGAAAGCAAGGCAAATGAATAACCTTTAAGATGATACCAATAACTCCATATTCCCAAAAAATGACGAGCGCCTGATTCCACTGCGTCTTGACACAATATATTTCTCCAACTGTCGCTTTCATCAAGATCTCCACTCTGCTATCATTTTTAAAAGGTCTGATTGCCGCAACTTGACCGCAATAACCACCCATGCGTTCATTCACGAACTGTCGTACACACAACTTGTCACTAACAGTCAAAAGGATTCTCTTATTTTTATTTAATATGTTCCGCTTGAAATTTTTCGGACCCCAAAGCGTTTTGTTTTTTTAAAGTTTGCCATTTTTCTTTCTCTTTTTTTCAGTCTGTCAAGTTAAAAGCACATAGAACGACCCAGAGGAGCAGCAGCATTTCTTCGTCTTGGTTTTGAAAGAGCTTCCGCAGCGAGCGTTCACACGTGATAAAAGCGGTCTGTTCGTGACATGTTGTGAAGGGAATTCCTCTCTATGAAAGAGCAAGTGTCAACACAGTTGGAAGTGGAATCAGCGGCTCCCATTACAACCCCCAAAGCCGACGGCGACTACAGTTCCATACACCAGAGTATGTTCTTATCTACAGAATGTGATAGCCAGTCAGGGAGAAATTGAATCTTGGACTCATCATCACATTTCAATTGAGGTTTGTCTTCGGCTTTCGCTGTCGTTTTGTGCTTTTGGAGCGTTTTTCCTGTTAGACACATATGATCCACAGTTCTTCACATTTTAGTACAGGAGAGGAAACCTCACCCAAAAACATTGCCAATTGCATGTTTAACTCATTTCTTCGACTCATCTACACATCAGAGATCAAAAACAATCGGGATATTTAAATTCTTAATTAGTCATCAAACAAACAAACGAAAAAAGTTGAAAGTTTGGAATCATCCCTCCTCAAAGTTTGACATACCTCAAAAGTTCGACCTACTTGAGTGACCTACTTGGGTGACCTACTTGGTTGACCTACTAGGGTGACCTCCTTGGGTGACCTACTTCGGTGACCTAGTTCCGCCCAGAGTGACTGACGACCACCACCAAGCACAATGATCCGCCGACACAAGGCTAAGCCCGGCAAGCGTGGGCACCAACAGTTTGCGCCAGACAAGAGAGAGAGTTCCCGCCTGTCCCCAGTCGTCCTGTCCAACCCGGTCAACCAGGCCGCCCACTGGAGCCAGGAGTCCTACCTCCTGGAGGATCTTCAGACACAGTACCCGCTCCCTCAGGTAGGACAGTCAAATAAGGATTTATTTAGTTAGTTGTAAGGTTTAACCCCCCCCCCTCCCCCTCCATCCCAATCGACAGAATTTATGTCATTATATAAGAAGGCAGATCGCTGTATGATATCCTTGCAGACGGACTGAGAGACTTGATTTAAAAACAACAACAACAGCAAGACAACAAATACAACAACAGCAACAACAGAAACATCGACAACAGCAACAACAACAACAACAACAACAACAACAGCAACAGCAACAACAATAACAGCAGCAGCAACAATAACAAAATAATAATAACAACACAACAACAAAAAACTACACCACTAATGATGATGATGATGATCATCATCATCGTCATCATCATCATCATCATCATCATCATCTTCATCATCATCATCATCATCATCATCATCATCATCACCACCACCACCACAACTACCAGTGCCATTACCACCATCACCGCCGCTCTCTATAAGTCCTATTCAGTCGTCACAATTCTCTGTAAACACATAATTTATACCCTCAATCTACTCCCATGTTCGATGGGTCATCATCAATGCCTATCCCGCCTGGCAGGTATAAGCCCCATACAAGCTCCTTCCATTTATCTCCGTCCTGGGCCATCCTTCCAAGCTCGTTCTTAGTGAGCTTCATCTCTCTCGTGTCCCTTTCCACGCATCTCCTCCATGTGGCCTACCCCAGCCTCGTGCTCCTTGCAGGTTCCAATGCAGTGACTGTCTTGTGATGCTTCCTCTGGGCTTTCTTAAGATGTATCCCATACATTGCCACTTTCTTGGTCCTATTTCTACTTCTACT